CAAATTTTGGCATTGCAATAGAAATTTGTCATTTCATCAATCGGAAATGATTTGATCGGTAAGCACTCTTTAAGATTGGAGGAGCCCATGATTTGAACTTAGGAGAAAGAGGAAAATAGGTCAAGACTTGAGATGAATTAAAATTAATAGGCCAATAGTTTACATAAGTTAATAAATAGGTTAAATTACTGTTTTTGTTCATAACTTGTCTGATTATGAACCATAACTTGTCTGGTTATGAACCATAACTTGACAAGTTATTGTCCATAATTGTCCATAACTTTTCTGGCTATGAACTATAACTTGACAAATTTGTACATAACTTATCTGGTTATGAACCATAACTTATCTGCCTATTAATTTATATAACTAAAAATTGACCTGTATACTTTCTTAAGCTTTTCATATTGACCTATGTTTTACTATTTTCCTTTTTAACTTTGGATCTCTCTCTTAGTGAGATCGGAGGAACCCATAATTTGAACTTTGGATCTCTCCCTTAGTGAAAGTTTGAGGAGCCCACAATCACTCCATCCAACCCATCGGGGGTGAACTAAATTCCAATGTTACCCGTGATGGTTTAAAACTATTTTCGTCAACCAAATTGTTAGATGAGCCTTAGATAGAACTCATCAACGAAAGTTAACTCAAAGGGAGATGGTGCCCAATTCACATATAAACATCACAGTAGCCCAGTAACTTAGCGATATCGGACAAATACACAATCCAACACTAATAACATCGTTTCCATGTATTTATTAGCTATCTTTGGTTTTCAGCTATAGGTTCGGAGAATAATCCATCTGGGATTGCTGACATTCCAGTTGATAAACTTCTTAATGGCCTTCTTGTTCCTGGATTTGACGAAGGCTCTTGTCTCAGCAGGTACCAGTCAGCTTCATATCGCAAAGATTCGCCACAAATGCCTTTTTCTTACCTTATTTCCAGGTTAAGAAGTTATGAGGCTCTTCACGAACGATGCGGACCTTATACCGAGTCCTACAACAAAACAGTGAAGCTACTTGGGGTTCTGCTTGTCGACCGCGGAGTTGACATGACTGATCTCTTCTGCGAGCCATTTCCTGATGCCTCGTGGTTCCTTCCCGCGGATTTCTCCCTTAAAAATCAGTTTGCCAGCTTTGGCCAAGAAACTCCTCAACGTTATGGGAAGATGCTTAGACAAGTCAGAGCTTCCATCTAATTATGTGTATCTGAATCTTGTCCATGATTATGATTTCCATGATAAGCTTTTCTTCTGCGACCAAGATCAAACTCCACTCCAAAACATACCCTGGTTGATCATGAAAACAAATAACTACTTCGTCCCAGCTCTTTTCTCGATACCTTCTTTTGAGCAAGAACTGAATAACCTCTTCCAGAATAGGGATCTAGTTTTCCACTTCTTGGGTAGATATCTTTTTCATCCCACAAACAAGGTCTGGGGACTAATTACTAGATATTATAGAGGTTATTTAGCCAATGCAGATGAAAAAATAAGCATTCAGATCAGATTACTCTTTGATGTTAGAACTAATCCATTCCAACACGTATTGGATCAGATCTTAGAATGCACCATCAAGGAGAATCTACTGCCAGAAATCAACTGGCAAGAATCCATCATCAGCAATATTTCTGAAACTCCGAAGTCTAAAGCTGTACTGATGACATCCTTATCCTCGGCGTTCTTTGAGAAGATTAGAGACATGTATTGGGAGCATCCGACTGTGACGCGGGACGTGGCCAGAATCTTCCAGCCGTGTCACGAGGAACATCAGCAAAGCGAGAAGCAGACGCACGATCGGAAGGCGCTTGCTGGGCCTGACTGATGTTTTGGTCACAAGTTCATGGTCCACGTTCGGATATGTGGCTCAGAGCCTTGGAGGGTTGAGGCCGTGGATACTCTACAAGCCAGAGAATAGGACGGCACTTGATCCCCCTTGCCGACGCGCCGTGTCGATGGAGCCTTGCTTCCATGCGCCTACCTTCTATGACTCCAAGGCTAAACAAGGAGCTGAAAGCGGAAATTTAGTTCCTCATGTGAGGCATTGTGAGGACATGAGCTGGGGTCTGAAGTTGGTTGACCATTATGATGAGATGTAATTCAGCATTTGTTATTTTCTTGTTGTGAGTGGCTATGCATGACTTTTGTTGCTTTTTTTTTTTTTTTTTTTTTTTTTTTTTTTTTTTTTTTTTTTTTTTTGGTGTATGCCAATAGAGTTAATGAGTCGTCAGAATATATCCTTTTTTCTACTGAACATGTATTGTTTTGGTGAAGACAGAGCATGATTTTTTTTTAAAATCATTTTTCCTTCACTTTATTCCCACAATTTTCCCGAAAGACCAGAAAACATTGGGTGCATTTAGAATTGACTTTTACTTATTTTTTAAAATTTTTTTGCACATCTTTTGAGACACGAAAATAAAAACGGTCTTTAAACCGTATTTATTTAGCAAATATTTTAAAAATAAAAACGAAAATAAAAAATAGTGAGAATGATTTCTATGAAAAAATTAGAAAACGGTTGAAAGTTGTTTTTCTTTTTCTGTTTTTATTTCCTAGTATTTGTCAATAATGTTATAATATATTAATTAATAATTATAACCAATTACGATTTTATTTTTTTATTATACTCAAATCAATTTCTTAAAGAACTAACCAAATACAATTTTAAAATTAATCACAGAATAATTTTCAAAATAATCTCATTTTTATTTTTGTATTAAAAATAAAATTATTTTAAAAACGTTACCGTGCTCATTATTTTCTTGCCATTGGATCAGATTTTTAGTCCGTGTCATGTGTAAAATCTGATTATCAAAGAAGATAAAACGAGAAAAGGAGTAAGAATTACAGCCGTCTTCCCATAAAGAGTATGAAAAAGTTAATCAAAATCATTATAGAAAACTCAGAAGTGACAAAACAAAAACAAACAAAAAAAAACACATATAAGAAGAAAAAAATTGAGCCACTGCACAATCAAAATTAAAGTAAAATAAGAATATTATTTTCTGTAATTATAAAGAATTCGAACTATGGGAGCACAAAATATCTAATTCCATGAATCTTCCATCAAAAAATATATAATTCCATTAATTTTTTGGAATTTTTGTGATGAAGAAGACCATTCCATTAGATTAGTTTTTTAGCGGTTAGATTTGTATATGTTGGCATTTAAATTGACACGTAAAAAAAATTACTCCTATAAATCAAATTATTAAAAACCAATCAAATAATTAAAACACAGTTCTTACTGGTAGAGGAAAAGAACCTTCTCCACCGTAAATGCATCCTTTAAAAAAAAAAAAAAAAAAGGCCTAAATTTTAGATCATTTTTTCTCAATTTACCAATTGAACTTAAAAATGTGGTATTTTAACTCTATCTATTAAAAATTTACTACAATGAGCACTCCATCTAAAATTTGGATAAAACTGATCTAGGATAGAAAGTTGTTAAAGTTCCTTGAACTAATCAAAAATTTGTGTTGTTATTCACTCCTGAATTGTTTTTACAGATTAGATCAGGTTGAGTATGGTTGACAACAGTTACGATATGACAACCCAATACGAATTTATAGATGGGAAAAATGAGGGGTGGACCAATTTCGTCTTGACGCTATTCTCAACTCAAAGAAAATGAGTCACATTGCGTGTAATTTGTTTGACCCGAAGGGATGTGTTGTATAAATGGATCCATTTAGGATCATTTGGTTCACCCTGAAATTGAGATACATACACTTTTTAATTTCTAAAGGTCAAAGGAAAAAAGATTACCTAAAACTAGAAAAAAAAAAATAAAAAAAAAACCTCAATTTCTAAGATGAGAGTTTCTTTGGTACGGTCTTCTTACCGATATGGTTAGTTTCTGATCGTTAAATCTAATTAAATTCATATTAAATTGAAAAAATATATAAAATTAATAATTTTTAATTTAGATGTAATAGTTGAAAACGTACACCTTTCTGTAGTTCATTTTTTTAGGACCTAATAAAGAAACTCTCTTATGATATTTGTGAAAAAAGATACCTAAAATTAGTCATTTGTGAGTAAATTAATTACCTATTAGAGATTTTTAGATTAATTTCATGACGCAGTTCAAAGTTGAGTCGAGTCATCCCATGGAGCGAGTCCGGTTAGAGTTGAGATTGAGCTTTAAAACGTTTTTGTGTCGGAAGTCTGTCCATACGCCTCGACGTGAGATTTGAGACGAACATGTTCAATGAATTGTCACCCTTTACCTCATTCACCATTCGTATTAAAATTTAGATTTTATTCATGCATACGCGTATAGTTGTCTTCTTTTTGTACCGTATGATTCAGCTTGATATTATTGTTTTGGTAGCTGTTTTTAGCTTCTTGAGTCTATAAATGTATTCTAATAAGAATTTAATACGTGTCGTTTTAATTAAAAACTTTTGTGCGTGTTTGAAACCATTTTTAAAAACGGTTTTCACGTATTTCGAAAAGTAAAAAATAAAAACGAAATGACATTTGTTTAGTAAATGTTTTGATAACAAAAATGAAAATAAAAATAATGAGAATGATTTTTATGAAGGAATTAGAAAACCGTTGAAAATTATTCTCTTTTTTGTTTTCATTTTCTAGTACTTATCAATATTATTATAATATATTAATTAATAATTATAACCAAACACGATTTTATTTTTTTATTCTATTCAAAATAATTTTTTATAAAATTAACCAAACACAATTTCATAATTAATCTCAAAATAATTCTCAAAACATTTCATTTTTACTTTTTATTAAAAATAAAATTATTTTAAAATTAATTCTAAACGCACTTTTGAGTCCACATGATGATGCGTTTCCATCTCTTATTCTCTTACGGGGTCATCATTGAAATTTTTGCAAAGCATGGGGTAGCGCAAAGTGTAAAAGTAATGTCGGTGGCCAACTTGGGATTTAAGGTATAATTCCAGGGCCATTTGTTAAAATACTCCTGTTAACTGACCTGTCTTATTTTCATTAGCCGTAGGTCAGATTGCAACAATCTTATTCCAAGCTTGACCACACCATATTCTCACAATCACCATTTTCGCCAAAACGTCTCAAAACCAGAGAGGGAGAGAAGCCTTCTCCATAGTCCAACACCAAATACTGGTCTCTCTTTCTCTCTCTAGAACTTCTCTCTAACCACACAACGGATCAAGATCCGAATACCCATTTGGCCCAAAGTTGACCTGAACCGGGTCTTTGGAATACCCAGATGAGGACTTCGCCATTATGAAGAGGTTCAAGAGGAATCCGGAAGATCTCTTTAACAATAAGCTCTCCGGTTTTGATGCCCAACAAACTGTTCCGAGAGATTCGGAGAAGAAACTAAGTTTGAGATTGATGAGGACAATGGGGATCTTCGTCGTTTGCTTGATGGTGTTTTCAGTTCTGTTTTCTGTTTCTGTCGTTCTCAAGGACCCACCTTCAGATGCCGTTTTGGATGCTTCAGGAGATAGATTTGTTCAACTTGAACGTAACAAAGGTACTTGATTTTTAATGCATGAACTTTGATCAAGTTCAATTCCTTTTTTGTGGCCTTTTCTCTTTGGTTTCTTCTCATTGTTGGGAGTTTTTTAAAATGATTGTTCCTAAGAAGTGTAATGTAAGGTGAAAAATGGTGAAAAGATGTTTCTCATTTGGTATTCTTTAAGGTATTTCATAATTGCTTTGTGGGCGTTTGAGATTTATATCTGGTATCTTTAGTTGTAGATTAAGCTCAACTTGTGCTTGGTCAGACCTATGACACTGAAGCTGGTTTAAAGAAATTGTTATTTTTTCATTTTTACCTTGAGTTTTTTTTTTTTTTTTTTTTTTTTTTTTTTTTTTTTTTTTTGATACCCCCCTTTTTTTTTATTTAAATTGTCCAGTT